TCCCTTTGGTCGTGATTTGGACACCCCTGGACCAGATGAGAAAAGAGTTCTGCTGAAGCTACGAGAGTAGCAAGAAGGAAGGAAGGAAGGAAGGAAGGAGAGAAGGAGGAAAAGGGAGGGAAGGAGAGATGGGAGGGAGAAGGAAGGAGAGAAGGGAGAGGGAGGGAAGGAGAGAAGAAAGGAAGGGAAGGAGGGAGGGAGGGAAGGAAACGGGAGAGGGAGATGGGAGGGAGGGAGAAGGAAGGAAGGAAGGAAGGAGAGATGGGAGGGAATGAAGGAAGGAAGGGAGGGAGGGAGGAGAGAAGAAGGAAAAGGGAGGCAGAGATGGGAGGGAGAAGGAAGGAAGGAAGGGAGGGAGGGAGGAATGAGACATGGGAGGGAAGGAGATGAGGAAGAGAAGAGAAGAGAAGAGAAGAGAAGGAAGGAAGGAAGGAAGGAAGGAAGGAAGGAAGGAAGGAAGGAAGGAAGGAAGGGAGGGAGGGAGGGAGGGAGGGAGGGCATGAAGCTTAGATGGAACACAGATGCCACCCGGTGGTCTGGCTGGGCAAAATCTAACCTTATAGGCAATACGAGCAGGGCATTTCTTCCCGAGGCCAAGTGGTGGCGACATGTGCCTCAGCATCTCGTACATGTCGGTGTAACTGATCCGCCCACTTGGAACCAGAAGGATGGGAGGTGTGTGTGGTGGGGGAGACAGACAAACAGACAGACAGACAGACGGACGGGGAAGGTAAGACAACACAAGGAGGAAGCACGAGCCACAAACAAAGGGAGGGGGGGGGAAATAAGGATGGGTGGGTGTTGGGGGTGGGAAGCAAACAAGAAGACAGAGAATTCTGGTTAATTGGTGCCTTGGAAGTCTGGTTTTCCGGGGAAGGTAACAAAACCAAAGGAAGAGGCTGCATGAGTAGGGCTTCTCCAGGTCCATCTCTTTTGGGGTTTCTCCTGCCATCTGCTCTCGGATCGATTTTATTTATTTATTTATTTTTTAATTTGTTTGGGGGAAAGAAACAGAAACAGGTCAGGCCGCACAAAAGGAAGAGAGGAGGTGTGGATTCCTGGTGAAGGGGTGTTGGAGGGGAGGGGGGAAATCGTAACAGGGCGCCTTTAGAGAAAGGCAGTGCCCGATTTCAAAGGGGGAGGGGTCGTTTTGGGGTAGAGGAAGTGGCTGTACTCATGGGAAGGAGGGGTGAAAGGAAGCATTGTGGGACAGTCAGCCGTGGTGGAAGCAAAAGGTCTGGTGGAGCCCTTGGCACTCTCTCAGTTGGGTTGCTTTCTTGCAGACCTCTCATTACCCAACTAGGTAACATCATCAGTGATCTTCCTTCCTTCCTTCCTTCCTTCCTTCCTTCCTTCCTTCCTTCCTTCCTTCCTTCCTTCCTTCCTTCCTCCCTCCCTCCCTCCCTCCTTTCCTTCCTTCCT